CATCTTTAATATACACATTGAAGTCTTCATAATGGCTATAAACTGCTGCTTTGTATTTCCAATTTCAAGCTGACCAACTTGCCAACACATATTCTGGCTCAACTTAAACACCTTTTCATACAAATCTCAGAAGAATTAAACTGCCACTGTTGTTTTTGTTCCCTACTGAGTTGCAGTGATAATTTAGTGCTATTGGGTGTACTGTGTTGGGCAACTACTTCCTTGTTTGAGGTACTCCATGTATCTATGCTCCTAAAGGAAATTCATTGTATCCCAAACCAGTAGCTTCCTGATCTCTCTCTCCTCCACAAGTCTGCATCCTGTCTCTTTGCCTAGCCCAAATATTTGATTAAAAATGGCAATTTTCTTCTATGTTTGCTTTCAATAAACTGAATTTTTAAGGGTATCCTTGTTGCAGAATGTATCAGTTCTTTGTTCATTACTGTGGCTCAACAATATTTCATTGTGGGTATATATACCACATTTTTAAATCAATTTTTCCATTGATGGACATTTGGACTATTCATATCTTTTGGGTCTTAGGGATAATACAGCTACAAACACATGCACGTGTGTTCATTTGAACATTTATTTTAATTTCTTTTTAAGCAAATACCTAGTAGTGGAGATACCAGGAAAGAAGTGGTGATAGCTTTTCATGCTGACCACCTCACTGGTCACTTCCACCAGCAAAATGTGTGTGTGTGGGGGGGGGGGTTCTGCCTTTCTCTATGCTGTCAGCATCCCTTGCCATTTCCCTATTTAATTATAGTCATGTTGGTAGCTATTGAGTGGTCTTTGTGGTTTGGATATGCATTTTCCTAGAGACTAATTTTCATAAATTTATAGGCAGTGGGCAAGTATTGTCTGGAGATTTGTCTATTTGTCTTTTGTTCATTTTTAACTGTATTCTTCCATCTCAGGTGTTTGATTTTAAAATACTTTCTTTTATTGTGCACACTATCTTTTCATTTTTACTTTATCTTCTGGTTCATAAATGTTTGTAATTTCGATGACATTTTATCAAGAAATCCTTTGTAAAATTCCAACAGTAAAGATTTGATGTTTTCTTCTGATAGTCCCGTAGTTTTAGCAATAACATTCATGTCATTGGACCATTTTGTGGTCATATGGTGCAGAGTACAATTCCAAATTTATTCTTTTGCACCTGAGTATCCAGTTGGGCAAGCACCATTTGCTGGAGATAATTCTCCCATAGGGATATTTTTAATAGTCTTGGCATCCTGACAAATGTCCAATTAGTCACAGGTGCATGTCTAAGTCTTTGCCATTGGCCCAGAAGCCTGTTGTGCCAGTGGTTGGGATTGCTTCAAATCTGTAAATATATTTGGGAAGTATTGCTATTTTAATAATAATAAATGGTCTAATTAATGAGCATAGTTTATGGATTGTCTTTCTATTAACATAGTTCTTTAGTTTCTTCTAGCAGTGTGTGTGTGTGTGTGTTTGTGTGGTTTGTTGTTGTTTTCCAGTTCTGGGGATCAAACTAGAGACATACACATGTTAAGCAACCCATCTACCACTGAGATAACATTTCTGGGGCCATGGAGACCAGAAGAGGGCATTGTATCATCTGAAACTGGAGATGGTTGTGAGCAGCCATGTGTGTGCTGGGAGTTGAACCTGCGTCCTCTGAAATAGTAACAAGAGCTCTTGACTGCTGAGTCATGTCTCTAGGCCCTGACTTGTAACTCTTGATCCTCCTGCCTCAGTCTCCAAAGCACTAGAATTGCGCGCAAGTCCCGCTGCTTTTGACTTGGAGAGCTTAACCATTTACATTTAAATTTATTGTGGGCGAGAAAAGATTTTCTTCTGCCATTTTCTTACTTTTCTTGCATGTCTTATACCTTTTGGTTGTTTCTAATTTCTTCTGTTGCAATCATCTTTTGTGTTGAATTGGTTGAAAGTACATTTTGGAGATTCTTCCCATCACATGTTAAATATTTTCTTAGTAGGAATTACAACAACCAGAACTGATAACAAAATGGCTTGATAGCAAATTAGTTTATAAATCATGCAAATACGCAGGTACCCATTAACATGGATTTATCATTACATTTCATGTATTTATTTTTTAAATTATTTAAGAAATTAAACTGGAGTTACCATCTATTATAGTTTGAATATAAGATGTTTCCCATAGGCTCATGGTTTGAACATTTAGTCTCCAGCAGGTAGGGCTGTTCTGGGAGGTTATTGATTTGGGATATGAAGCTGCCCCACAGGATGTCCTTTCACTTATCCTGAAAGACAGCCACAGATCCCCAGGATTTGATTTGCCAAGAGTTCTAGTTTTGCTGAATATGAGCTTCTCTAGCACCATAACACACAGATTGCCCTTTGGCCTCTTTAAACCCATCATCCCACTGCTTTGTGGCGTCTATAGTTTCTGATGAGAAACCAAATGACAATCCTTATCCATGGCAAAGCATTCCTTTTTTGCTGTTTTCAAGTTCTCTCTGCCTTTGGCTTTGGAGAGTTTGATTATGTGTTTTCTTGTGGGGAATCTTTAAGTTTGTTCTCCTTGGCATCTGTTGGGTTTCTTAGATGAATAGAATTGTTATTTTCATCAATTCTAAAACTTTTCAGCCGTTGTTTCTTCAAGTATTCCTTCTCTCTCTTTTTGCCTTTTTCTCTTTCTGGGTGGGATGTGTAATCGGCATAGTGAATATCCCAATAATGTCCCCCAGGCTTAACTGAATCTGCTTACTTTTCTATCTTTCTGATCAATATGTAGGATTACAGCCCCACCTTCAAGTAAACTGATGTTTGTTGTATCTCAGATCTATTGCTGATCAGTCTCAGATTCCATAACAGTCACTCCTCTCTCCTTCCTCTCTCTATCTCCTCTCTCTATGTATGTCTCTCTCTCTCTCTCTCTCTCTCTCTCTCTCTCTCTCTCTCTCTCTCTCTCTCTCTTGCTCGATTCTGTGAGGCCATCCAAAAATCTGTTCTTATCTCCTTCTCAACCGTGTGTGTGTGTGTGTGTGTGTGTGTGTGTGTGTGTGTGTGAGTTTTATGTATGCGTGTCTGTGCACATGTGTGCACAGGTGCATGTGCAAAAGCCAGAGGGCAATGTCAGGTGTCTTCCTCCATCTTGATCCACCTTAGTTTTTGAGACAAGGTCTCTCACTGAACCTAGAATTCCAGGTGTTCAACTGTCTCAGATACTACCGCCTCTGCAGAGCAGGGATTACAAGCATAATGGCCACACCAGCTTTTAGGTGGCTACCAGGGATCCAAACTCAGGTGTCCTCATGCTTGTACAGCATGCCCTGTATCTACTGAGCCATTGCCCCAGCTTCCTCTTTCTCTGCAGGGCTGGGGTCATACATGTGAGGCCAGTGCTCTCCTGCTGAGCTGCATCCCTACCTTGTACTCCTAATTTCTAAGACTGTTCTCTCTTTCACATTCACAGAAATGCTTATTAATACATGTAACATAGTTTATAAGTGTTTCTCCATAAGTTCTTTACTGAGAGTTTCCCTTTTCTTTGAAGGACTTCAAAATTATCAGTGGTTTAAAGAAACAGAGTTTCGTCAAAAACCCAGAGAATTATATACTGTAATCGCAGAATATGGCTCCCGGCTCTATAATTACCAGGTGATGTTTCATTAAATTCTTGTTGCATGCCACTCATTTAAAACTGAGTATGCCGCAAGGTGAGTTCAGTTTGCATTATATTATCTTGGTTTTGGGAGAACAGTCAATGACAATCTTATAGCAAGTGGGGTTCTTCTAAGTGGTTTTACAACTAAGAAATCTCCCCAATTCTCCATACCTCCTGACCTTTTCAGGCTCCCTATGAGAAACTCCAAGAGAAGGGAGAAAGATAAATCATTCCATATGACTAACTGTCTCCCATCCCCAGCCAGAACAGTTCTTTCCTTTGCCTGGAAGCTCCTGAGGTCTCAGTGAGGTGTTCACTATCTACTCTATACTCCATAAGCACCTCCTAGCATTCCTGACTGCTGCAGTTTGCTTCCTTCCCTCCTGTCTGCCTTTCTGCCTCCCTCCCTCCCTCCCCCTTTCTATCTTCCACCTCCTCCTTGTTTTTTTTTTTTTGAGATAGGGTTTCTCTGTATAGCCTTGACTGTCCTGGAACTCACTCTGTAAATCAGGCTGGCATCAAACTCAGAGAGATCTGCCTGCCTCCCATGTTCTGGGGTTAAAGGAGTGCACCACCACTGCCCTGACCTAGTTTGCTTTCTATTACTGTGATAAATACCATGACCAAAAACATCAGGAGAAGAAGAGGTTTATTTGGTTTGCACTTCCACATCACAGTTCATCATTGAGGGAATCAGGGCAGGAACTCAAGACAGAAACCTGGATATAGGAACTGACCCAGAGGTTATGGAGGAATGTTGTTTATTGGCTTGCTCCCCATGGTATCCTCAATTTGCTTTCTTGTACAGCCTAGATATTCACCATCGACAGTGGGCCGGGTCCATCCACATTAATCATTAATCAAGAAAATGGCCTCTGCTTGCCTATAGGACAATTTGACTGAGATATTTTCTCAGTGGAGGTTTCCCTTTCCCAACTTATTTCAAGCTGCCAAAAACCTAACTAGCACACCAACCTTGGTCGTGGATGAAAGGTCAGCCACATGAAACCTCACAGACAGAGTTTACATGAGATAACCTCTACATCTCCAGGTCTTCACATTCTGGTCCTGGACAAAGCCATTCTCAGAAAAACTGATGTGCATCCAAAGTGAGCAGTGGTACCCCACCTTCAGAAACAGCAAATAATGCTTCCATCCTGGAGTTTACATTATATGTCACTTTCTGTTGTGTGAATAAGGCCACCTTTCCTGACATGGTAACAATGGCATACATTGCACGCCAAGGAAGACACACATGCAAGGTGCTCTTATGTCCCAAGCTATATTTCAAGGGTCCAAGTGTGATTTCAGAAGAAAGACAACTGAGTGAAAAAGTAAGACTCAGAATTATTTCTCTCCTCTATTTCAGGCCAGACTTCGAATGCCTAAGGAGCAACTAGAACTTTTAAAGTGAGTGGGGTTTTGTATGCACCATTCTCTGCTCTGACTCCAAACACTGAAATATTGGGGGTTTGTTTATGGAAATTTATAAAATGAAAATAATGTTCCTGTATTGTAGCTTACATATCTGCCAGTCAAGAGCACTTTTCCTGGCTATTTATTCTTACCCACCACAAAAAGCCAAATCTGTTTAAAATACCATATGCAACTGAGTCTAGAATTCTAGTACTCAGAAGGCTGAAGCAGCAAAATCCTCATTTTGAAGCTACAACTGATAAGCCTGTCTCAAATAAAAGTGAATTGATAAATAGGTTAATGAATATAAATAGTAAATGTTTCAAGTGTGCACATTGTGTGGATCTCCAGGCTATAGCTTGAAAAAACACTTCTGTCCACTACACTAGGAATTCAGGACATCCCAGCTTGCATCCCAGGGATGACATAGGATTTAGCATTCACCTGCATGAAGTCACTTGACAGAGGACAAGTGAGGTTGGTTGCTTCCTGACTGCTCAGTGTAGAAAAAAAACTAACAAAGATTCCCTCTGACTCTTGTCTTTTGAGTGCCCACCTTGCTTTCTCCTCACAGTGAAATGTAATGAGCAGACAAAGGCACATCCCCGCCTTCCCCTACCTATGGAATCTTTTTTTCTGCCCTTAAGTTGACTCATTTGCCCATTTCTGGCCCTGAAGCTGTTGGCAGGAACCTTACTGTTTCCCTCTTTCATCTTGTGGTTCTTCTGTGTACAGGAAGGAAAGCCAGACTTTGGAGAACAATTTTCGTGAAATCTTGATTTTAATTGAACAAATAGATATTCTGAAGGCATTGCTTAGAGACATGAAGGACGGTGTACACAATCACAGCTGGCCTGTCCACCGAGAGGCTGTGCAAGACCAGGTCACCACTGCGGTTCCAGATGAGGCAAGGAGGTCTGGGGCATGGAGGGGGTTGAAACATTTAGTCCCAGGATGCTCATGCCATTTCTTCCACTAAATGGGTACCAACTGACATTAGCTACATCCTCTGGGACCCCCTGATTGACTTCCTTGGGACTCTACTTTTCCACTAATGCTGTGTTACAGAGAGGACATTGAGTTGTGATACAACTTATTCCCCACAAGATAACCAACCAGTGGTTCAGAAATGGTCATCTGTGATTGTCTATAGCAAATACTTGCTAGCAAGAGGTTCCCATTCTTCTCTGAGAACTATGCCTCTGGTGAGCTCCAGATTTAGGCCAGAAGCTTCTCTGCATTGCTCTCCCACTGCCTGTACCACCACTAATTTCTCCTCCTCATGTCTATGTTTGAAATGTGTAGAAATCTAACCTTGGCCTTCATGGCTCCATCCACCCTGTCCTTGTAATTGTGATGCCGTGTTCGAGTTAGTCAATGATAATTGTTGTACCTGCTCAGGGTATTTGGTTATTTTTGGACAAGAGTATCCTTCAGAGCCCAACACTGACTCAAGTGGGTGAAAAAAGTTGCTGTAATAAGCAATCATCTGCCCTTTTAAAGCTGCCTGATTCTTAAAGAGCTATAGAATATTCCAGTATTTGTTGCTAAGTACAGGACACAGCAAGCAGCACACCTGGCACAGCTCTGTCTCAGCCTATGGTGAGTACCAAAGTGCAGTGGCTTAGAGAGCCGCCCCAGGTCCACCTTTCTGTGTGACCATGGTCCCCATCACACTTTAGTTTTAACTCTGAGTTGTCTGAGAAAGGTCACTCCCACAGAGGTGTGGACAAGACATCCAAGTGCATCAGTGCCTACCCCTGAGAGTTCCTGAGAGCTGTTAGAATTCTTCAGATTAAGGAGTTTAGGTCCAAGTCCATGAAACAAAGGGTAAAAATGCAAGCTATTGGTAGAGATTCATAACAGAAAACTGTTCTTCTAATCTTTACAGGAAATGTCAAACTTGGTACATTACGTACTTAAAAAGTTCAGAGGGGACCAAATACAGATGGCTGATTATGCCCTGAAGTCAGCTGGTGAGTACAGGGGAAAAAAATGAAAGATGACTGTTAAAAAAAAGGAATGCTTAAGACCATTTAAAATTCTTTATCAGAAAATGACACATATCCCACATTGAGAAGGGCTGAAATTAATAAATTAGATGTTAAGGAAGATATTAGAAATGATTGTCATTGACTGCTTCCGGAACTCCATTAGCATGTATCTAGGAGGACCCAGAAAAAGCTGATATACCACGGGGTAGTCAATCAGGAAGAGAATACTTAAGCTCAGAAGACGGGCAACACTTTGTATTATATGCACCAAAATGATTTTACAGGGATGTTAAATTCATTATTGCAGACTAAAGGCTGGTGTTTAAAGGTGAGTTACAAAGTAATGTGCTCAATGTCATCCAAATGAAAATAAGCCCTAAGAGCTTACTTAGGCTGTGAATTGTAATTTCTGCCATCTTGGACCTAAACTCCTGAGCAGTGCAGAGGGGAAGTGGGGAGGGCAGTGTAAGAGATGCTATTGATGAGTGAACTGATTTCTTAAAGTGTACAGACCATCAAAAGTCATTCAATAGGAAGTGGATAATAGATAGCAAAAACAACAACAACAACCCCCCCAAAAAAAAAACAACCAAAAAGTGGATAGTGATGTGGTGAGTAGAGAAACATGTATTTAAAACCTTTCTGAAAAGAAAACTATATCTAGGGCTATAGCTCAGTGATGTAGTGCTAGGCCTAGTATACACAAGGCCCCTGGGCAATGTGATAAGCCCACTTGCCCTCTTTATCATTTCATAATATCATTTGTTTGTTTTTGGAGACATAGTCTCACTGTGTAGCTTTGGATGTCTTGGAACTCACTATGAACGCTGACCAGGCTGGCCTCAAACTCACAGAAATCTGCCTGCCTCTGCCTCCCAAGTGCTAGAATTATAGGTGTGTGCCACCATGCCCTAGCTTCATTTTGTAATGTCTTACAACAAACTGAATCTGGGAATACACAAGAATGACAATAAATGTGTGTGAATAAGTAGGACCTCTTCTAGGACTAAAAGCCTTATCCTTTGAAATTTTATGTGTCGTTTGCTATATCAAAACATTTAACAATCTGGTCATTGTGGTGATAAGTTTAGATAAATTAAAATCATATAGCAACATTCATTTATGATTAAAAACTCTGAACGTACCAGAGAGGTTTCCTTCAACCCGGCAAATAACTCCTGCATAATTCCTTATGTAAACACACAGGAATTTATAGAAGACTGAAAGATTTCTCCAAAGATCAAAAACAGTAAGGATGCTGCCCTTAATTACCATTTGTTGTTACCATGGCCACAGAAGTCCTAACCTATGCTCCAAGACAAGAAATGGAACAGAGGGAGAAAAGGGGAGTGAAAATGCAAAATCAGGCAAATTAGAAAAGAACTAACATATCAACTTATAAACAGCATTATTGCTAACACAGAAAAAAACAGGGCAAAATATCAACTAGAAAAACTTTGCTTGTATTGGTGTGTGTGTGTGTGTGTGTGTGTGTGTGTGTGTGTGTGTGTGTGTGTGTATGTGTGTGTATCTGTATGAGAAACTGGAACATTTGGTAGCTGGTTTTCACAATTATTATAAAGGCCCCAGAAATCAAGAGACAGTGGCATAGAACACAAGTCCAGAGTCAGTCCACATGGGCATGGTGATTGGGTTTTGGCAAAACAGAAAATTCAAGCCAGCAGTTCTGATATTCATTGCAAACCAAAACTTAGCCATAATTTACCAGATATTAACCTAAAGTCTGAAAGTAAGGTGTGAAGTTATACAATTTCTAAAACAAAAAGTAAAGGAAAATAGTGTGATTTTTTAATTCATTATTTTGTTGCACTGGGGCCTGAACTCGTGGTCTCCTGTGTGTGAGATGAGCACCCTACCATGGAGCTATATTTAGACCTGTATTTCCCTAAATTTTTATTTTGAGGCAGGGTCTTGAAAGTTGTCCAGCTGACCTTGAACTCACATCATAGCCCAGGTTGGCCTTGAACTTTCAATTTTCCTTCATAAGCCTAGGAAAGGATATCTTAAAGAAAACACTGAAACAAGACCAAACAGAAAAGAAAAGACAGCTTGGACCCATTAGTATGAATTTCAGTTCTAAAAAGAACAATTGAGAGGATGAAAAGACAATTCCCCGGCTGGAGACAGGAGATTTACACATAAATTTAGCAAAGCTCCTGGATCTAAAATTTATGAAAGCTTTCAAACTTCAATAATAATAAAACAGAAAACGCAATGTAAAAACTGGGCTAAAGATCAGAAAACACTTTATTAAAGAAATGTAAATATGAAAGGAACATGAAAAAACACTAGACATTATTATTCATTAGTGAAATGGGCCTCAGAAGCACAATGACACATCAGTGCACATCTATCAGAGTGGCAGGCAGAGTGCCTGCCAAGTGCTGCAGACACTGGGAAGCCCTTCCACCCACAGTCTGTGTGTGTGTGTGTGTGTGTGTGTGTGTGTGTGTGTGTGTGGTGTGGTGTGTATTAAGTGGTAAGTTTGGAAGGCAGCCTGACAACTGCTTCTCAAGTTAAATATAGCCCTAGTGATCCTGTTGTGCCACCTCTATGTATTTACTTAAGAGTTAAATTTTACATTTAAGTCAAAACATGCATGCCAGTGCTGGGAGTACATCTCAGTGCTAAGAGTACCTGCTTAGGTCACATAAGAGCTTAGGTTCAAGCCTCAGCTCTGCAAAACCCAGACAAAAGCCATTAGGAGAATACCTGTGGTGACCAGATTGATAATCACCAAGATGAGAAATGCCCACTAACAGATGAATAAAGTGCTCTGAAGATGGCATAAAGAATGGCATTCATTACAACACACAGATATCCCAAAGGCTTCATGCAAAAACACAGTAAAAGCAATGACTGCAATAGGTGAGCCTGTGAAGAAGGATTGACCAATGACTGTCTCAGTCTTGGGCTGGAGGATAGCACAAATGGGTGGTGGGGGGTTGCTACTCACTGTAGGCTTTTTTGTAGCTGACCCATTCTAAATCTGCTGTGATAATGACTGGCATAATCTGAATATGCTAAGGCAAGCAACACTAAACTGTACCCTTTATACAAGTGAATTATTGGGTGTGTGAATTATTTCTCAAAAAAAAGCCAATTAGAACTAAAAAATGAATCGAGCACCTTTAATCCCAGCACTCAGGAGGCAGAGGTAGGCAGAAACCCTGTCTTGAAAAAACTAAACAAAAACAAAATGAAAACAAAAACAAAAGCCTAAAAAAATAAATGAATGAAAGTAATGAATAAGTATGAGTTTCTTCAAAACTCACAATTCAGTTTTGTTCATGTGATGATTTTAGGGGGACTCAGACTTATATTGGCTCCACATGCAAAAGGGGTTTTCCTGCCCAGTCGGTCATACAAGTAGGAATGTTAATTGTTAAGATAAACAATGCCTGCTTCAGTTTCAGAGAATGGAAAGCAATTGTAGGATAAGCATGCCCCAAATATTGTGTAACATAAGACTGTCACTCAAAACTTTAATATACATTTTAATTGTGTGTGTGTGTGTGTGTGTGTGTGTGTGTGTGTGTTGCTGGTGGAAGCCAGAGGAGTCATTGTTGTCCCTGGAGCTGTAGTCAAAGATGGCTGTGAGTTACCTGCACTAGGAATTAAACTCAGGCCCCCTGGAAGAGCAGAGCACTCGTAACCACTGTGCCATCTTCCTAAATGTAATTCAGCCTCTAAATTTCAAGTTCAACTGAGAGATGTGTATTTCCTCTTGCTGCATGTGGCAACCATGGGCCCACATTTAATATTTAAATCTATGCTATCCCAGAAAAGGTTCATAAACTAGATACCTGGGCAAGAACATGGCTGTTAACACAAGCGTATGGGGGCCTCAGTGTTATACTGTGTAACTCAACTGAAATTTAAAGAAGTGATTTGCGTTTTAAAATTTCTCGTCTCCTTCCTAAAATGAAATAACTTGAAGGGATAATGTTTAGTTAATACTTTCACATTTCTTTGATTACAATTAAAGCTCCTACAAAAAAAGTTAGTCTATTGAATCTGCATAAGTACTGTTACAAACAACAAGCAGGGCATGCGTGTGGCGTGGAGTTGCTGCTTTTTCCATTTTTGGGTAAACAAGGCTGATAGAAAGTCTGATTTTCTGGATGATGATAAATATAATACATTAATTTTAGTTTTGACTCAATTGCTCCCGTATTTAAGTTTTTTTTATCGTAAGTTTCAGAGGTTTCGTGAAACTAGGAAAAGCAAGCATGATTTTCTGTCTGGATATGGTGCCACATATCTTTACTCCAAGCACTTAGGACGCTGAGGCAGAAGGAATGTTACAAGTTCAAAGTCAGCCTTCAGTACCTATTGAGACCCTATTTCAAAACCAAGAAACAAATGAGCAAACACCTTTCTGGAAATGATAGACTATCACTGGTGCCAGCCTGACTGAGGCCTGAGTGTGACTCTAACTGGGATTTTTCCAGTAATACCTTTCCAGGGTTGTCATTAAAATCCAGATAATATGTATTAAGTCTTATGCATTAAGTTTAAAATATTTTGCAATTTTAGGAGCCTCTGTCATTGAAGCTGGGACCTCAGAAAGTTACAAGAACAATAAAGCAAAACTGTACTGGCATGGGATCGGGTTCCTCAATTATGAGATGCCTCCAGATATGATTCTTCAGGTAAGTGCTAAATAGGACGATGTTATGTCTACCTTAAAATTTTGTTATTAAAGACTGTGATTGTATTAATGTTTTAAAACGGAGGCAAGAACATCATCCATGCTGCCTGCAAAACCTAGACATTTCTTATGTTTCTACACCTTAACACCGTACAAAGTGTTTATCTTAGAGTCCTAAACTATCATTAATTATTGTGTTTTTAATATCAGAAAACTAGACTTTGTCAGAACATGGATTTCCATACCTTTCATTTCCATTGATTCTCTGACCTCTCTTTTCCATTGAAAACTTCAGTCATTCAACAAACGTTTGTTAAAAGAGGATGCCCTCCAAATGCCAGTCGGGCATTAAGGTGCAATGGCAAACACATGTTCTCACAGGGTTGACTGTAACAGAAATTTCCACGTAAGCCTTGTAGTTCCCTTGGAAGGATCATGACTTATGAGCCACATATCAGAAGTTGCTTTCAAATTTAAAACTATCTTCAAAGATAAACCTACAATCTCTTCTTGCCAGGTTACAATTTTACATCTAGTAAAAGATATTCTGTTTCTCTTCTTTACCACCGGGACCTCCGTCACCACTATTATCCACTATTGCCATCTCGCCATCAACCATCACTAGAACTGATCAGTTTCATTTCCACTACCACCATCACTGTCTGTTCTGCCACCAACATCACCTCCACCGTAAACACCATTGTCTCCTTACTCATCACCGCCAGCACCATCCACACTTCTTCCTCTAGCTGCCCTTTAGCAGTGTAGTCACAGCAGTGGAAAAAAAACGCAGTGCTGTGGTCAAGGATCTGTTGGACAGCAGCACAAAGCACTCTGGATGAACAACCAGATCTAGGGTGTTTGGGAAGCTCTCCTATTTGCCAGGTGTCCGAAGAATCTTACAGTTGCTAGAGATGATATCCTCAGTATTGAAAGATTAGATTTATGTACCCAGGAAAGAGATTAATTTAATGTTTTCTTTCCAGCCAGATGTCCACCCTGGAAAGTGCTGGGCCTTTCCAGGTTCCCAGGGTCATATCCTGATCAAGTTAGCCAGGAAGATCATCCCAACAGCTGTAACCATGGAGCACATCTCAGAGAAGGTTTCCCCGTCAGGAAATACCTCGAGTGCACCCAAGGAGTTCTCTGTCTATGTGAGAAGCTGTCTAAAACTTTCATTTGGAGTGGGTTGAGACAGAGGGTGTTGGACTGGGAAGGAGGAGCTAGACTCTTGTCTTTGGGAATTGAATGTAGGGCCTCGTGGAGGCTAAGCTAGAACTCTGCTACTGAGCTATCACCAGCCCTGAACTCTCCTTTTAATTGTGCACTAACTTCTTGTGCCTTATTAGTTACAGACTGGGAGGTTTGGACCAGATGATTTCTACATTTGACTTTACATTTTTACTTTAAAACTAAAACGTTATACACACACACCTGAAATGCTGGCTATTTACATAAACTTTGTAATGCACCTTCCTGTTTCTCCCTCCTCCCAATTTTTTTTGTTGTTTGTTTTTTGTTTTTTTGTTTTTTTGTTTTTGAGACAGGTTTTCTTCATGTAGCTTTGTAGACCAGGCTGGCCTCAGACTCACAGAGATCTGCCTGCCTCTGCCTCCTGAGTGCTGAGATTAAAGATGTGCTCCACCACCACTTGGGAGTTCCCAATTCTTTTATCCTCAAAGTTCCCATTAGCAGCAGTTTCGCCTCTTATTGAGACACCTGCTTCCATGTTTTCTTTTTACCTTTATTTTGTAATTTTTCAGTGTTAGATATTATATGATGACTCCCTCCTATGGAAGTTGAAAATCACTTTTCTGTGGCTCCTCCTATGCAATATCTTTGTCTTTAAACAACAGGCTTATAGAGACATAATTCACATAGCATAGGACTCACCCACTTGAAGTGCTTGTCAATATTTGACTTCTTTTTGGAAGCAAAGAACAAACAGCTGATTGTTTGTATTTTGCTTATCCATTAGCTGGTAGACATCTAAGAGTTACTTGCAGGGTTTTGGTTTTTATAAATAATGGGACTTTGAATATTTGTGTGTAAGAGTCTGCCACAGATGTTGGGTTTTGCTTCTGTGAAATAGATATTGGATTTGAACTCCTAAATCTGTGTTTCATGTCTGAGGCTCTGGGAGGGTGGTGGATGCATGTCTTTTTGTTTGTTTGTCTCCGTCAGTGGTCAGTATTTTCCTGGTGACTACTTGGCATTGCTCTCTGTTGAGCCATATAGCACTTGAAAGCTACTTTCTTTTTTTAAGATTTTATTTATTATGTATACAACATTCTGCTCCCATGTATATCTGCACACCAGACTAGGGCACCAGATCTCATAACAGATGGTTGTGAGCCACCATGTGGTTGCTGGGAATTGAACTCAGGACCTCTGGAAGAGCAGTCAGTGCTCTTAACCTCTGAGCATCTCTCCAGCCCTGAAAGTTACTTTCTTTACTGAAAACATTTTAAACATATCCAAAGGTATTTGCCACCTGTTTGTCTAATTTGCTCACTTTGGTGCATTTCTATCTCTAATACATTGCCAAGCTCTTCATCAGAGGTGCATATTCTCCCATTGTTAATTCAAGTCAGATAAACCATGCTTCTCTTGCTCTCCCCTTCCTCCCATCCACCTTGCTAGAGCTCTTCTACCCTTTGACTCCAATCTGATGATTGCTAGATGAGCCGGGTGCATGGCTGTCACTGTGGGGTCTCAATACTACATCCGGAAGTTGGTTTCTAACTTTCCTTTTCTGATTCATAGTCCATCTCTGAAAGACTGCATCTATTTTGCTCTAATGCCTATGTAAAAATTTTCATCTCTTTCATCATAATTTTACTCTCTAAGACTTTGATTTCCACAAATATTGCTTATTTAGAGTCTTTTGTGTTTGCAGCATTGTCTTCTTTGCATCTGAAGATACTAATTGATAGCAGAGTTTAGTTCTATCTTGTTTGTTTACAGAGTCTCTGTTGATCTTATAAGTTGCCTTTCTTGAATGTCCTGATGCTCCTATGAAGCCTGGCAGCACAGTCAATGCAGTTGCCTTTGCAAGGATTCCTGCAAGTGGCAAGTGTCAGCCTGACTGGACTGCTGGGACCTGCAGGGGAGGAAGAGCACAGGACAGATCTCAGCTGCACAACCAGCTGCCTCAGGAAGAGAGCTCTGGCAAGGGCTGGTGGGCAGGGACTGCCATGGACTGAGGGCTCTCATGTCTTGTTGAAATGAATCAGCCAAGCCTCAGACCTGAGTCCCTCCCCTCTCTGACCTCTAGCATACCATGGCCCAGATTCCAAGCCTTTCTGGGCTTGCAGCCTACATCCCTGTGGTGCTAGTTTCATCTCAAGCCACAGGAGTTTGTGTCTCCATGTGCTGCCCTTGGACCTTCCCCGTGGTTTCTGTCTGAGTGCCTACTCTCACTTTTCCTCGAAGGTTTAGGCATTCTACCCTTTGACATTACTAACTGGAGAAGGATGTAGCCTACTTCCTGTGCCCACTAATGCTTCCAATCCCATATGCAGAAGCCTTCTGATTCTAGCCTCCGATGCTCACATGCACTGCAGTGTTGAGTTAGAGATGAGTTTTGGCAGGCCCTGCCCGTTTGTGTTTACTCAGTACTGTTCCTTATTTGTAGGCATTCTGGCTGATTCTTACAGGCAGGAATCATTGAGCAACAAGTACTTCCCATTTTCTTTCTGGATTACAGAATTGATGAACTAAGTGTTTCCTCTATTGCTCTTGGCCCTCATAATTTGAAACAGGGTCTCTCATTCAACTGGAAACTTGCCATCTTGGTGTCATCTTGCTGGTCAGTGGGTTCTCATGTTCTGTCTGTCTCTGACCCCCAATGTTGGGGTACAAGCACAGGCAGCCTTGTTGACATTTTCACATGGAATCTGGGGACTTGAACACAAGTCTTCAAGCTTACACAACAAGCAATCTTTGAGCCATCTCCCAAGCTCCAGCACATACAGTTTAGGGTGAACTGTTGCTACTTGAACATCTGCATTCATTTCTTTCCACTGAGCTCCTACCCAATCCTTACTGCCTCCATACCTGTTGTTTTCTTTGCAGGGTATTAAGAAAAAATGTGAAGGAGAAGAAATGTTCCTAGGTCAGTTTATATTTAACAAAACGGAAACAACCATTCAAACATTTGAGCTCCAGGTAATAATCCACTGGGAAATGCTGTTATGTTTGGCCTCGTCACTAAGAGTGATTTGCTAGAACTGCTGCCTGAAAATAATTATGACTAGAGCAAAAGCTAAGAAAGACTGTCATAACTCCATTCTTTGCTTCAAATGCTTACATGTATTTTAATGAACATCATTTAACTGTAAGTTATTGGTGCACAATTAATTATAAGAGATGGCAATTACAAAAGCAATTTCTAACTTATTCTCACTTGCTACTACCTCCCCATGTATTGAGTTTCTCAGTAATTTTTTTATTTTAAATAGTGCACCCAGCACATGTACAGGAAGCAATTTACCACATGAGCAATTCATTTTGATAATGACTGTCTCATCTGCCTTGAGTAAAACTTTGAAGATGTGATATGATGTGGAAAGAGGGAAAAAGGACTCAATCAATATTTAATGCCAGATAATATAGGGAAATCTTTCCTTCCTAAGCCAATGAGAGGAAACACCCACTGTTAACTGATAAACTTCCTGACGTGCACTAAAGTTAGCCACAGGAATTAAAGGAACTGAGAGATGTAGAAAAGTGTCTCATACTATGTAAGGATAAGTGTTTATGATACTTTTTAGTCAACAATGAAACTGATCCAAGTCCCCCACCACTACCACCACTACCAACTGTTCAAACAACTCTTCACATACAATGATCTCACACACAGTCACAGCTCTTCACATACAATAATCTCACACACAGAGTCACAGTCTTCAGATACAATAATCTCACACAGAGTCACAGTCTTCACATACAATGATCTCACACACAGAGTCACCTCTTCACATACAATAATCTCACACACAGAGTCACAGTCTTCACATACAATGATCTCACACACAGTCACAGCTCTTCACATACAATAATCTCACACACAGAGTCACAGTCTTCACATACAATGATCTCACACACAGAGTCACAGTCTTCACATACAATGATCTCACACACAGAGTCACAGTCTTCACATACAATGATCTCACACACAGAGTCACAGTCTTCACATACAATGATCTCACACACAGAGTCACAGTCTTCCCATGTAATGATCTCACACACAGAGAATCACAGCTCTTCACATGCAATGATCTCACACACAGAATCACATCTTCTCATAAAATGATCTCACACACAGAATCACAGCTTTTTACATGCAATGGTCTCACACACAAAACCACAGCACAGATGGAAAAGTCTTTGGTACTATACTAAGCAAGTAAAGCTTTCCCTTGTTAGTGTCTCTTAGACACTACAACATAGAGATTGTTTACATAGCATTTGCACAGTGTTCAGGATTATAAGCCATCTTGAGATGATCTTAACTACATGGAAAGCTAACCCTAACTTCTCCGCAAATATTATGCCATTTTACATAGGGGACTTGAGAACCCATAGATCCAGTATCAACAAGGAGGTCCTGGAAGTCATCCTTCTAGATACCAAGGGATGGATAACTATTATAAATTAGCATATTTGTAAAGTTCTGTGTCTGTGCCTTACTTGAATATTCATATGGCCATGAATTTGTATTTAGCTTTGGATTTTATTGAGGTTGTATTTATTTTTGTTTTAACTTTTTTTATGAAACGGATTCTTGTTTATGGTAGCTCAAGCTAGCCATTAACTCATGTTTCTTTTACTTCAGCATTCACAGTTGGTTTTGTGGGTCTGGTTTTCATACAATTCTCCTTTTATTGACAGCAATGAGTGTGAGGAGAGTTGAAAGCAGTGAGAGCCAATGGCTACTTAGACCTCCAGAATACCTTCATGCCCCTGTAGTTATCTGTTCATGGGATCTTCCCTTCCAGTAGCTAATTTTCCCATCCATTAGAGCACTATTTGAGCAGACTGTGTTAGGGAAGGAAAGAAGTTCCCACATTCCCCACTATATCAGTGTTCATTGGGATTCTTCGAGAGGAAATTTTTTTAAGCCATTCATGTTTTCTTTGTTTCCAGAATGAAGCTTCTGAATCTTTGTTATGTGTGAAACTTCAAATCTTTAGCAACTGGGGACATCCAAAGTATACTTGTTTGTACAGATTCAGAGTCCATGGCATCCCCAGTGATCATACTTAGAGGAGCTGGTGCAGAAGGCGGTGGCCAGAATGTCCAAGGATGCTTGCTATTCCCTTACATCAAATTGCACCTCTAAGAACCAAAGATTTGGAGTGGGAGGGAAACCTCAAACTCATCCCTACTAGGCAGTAAGAAGTGAATGGATTTTACTAATAAAAAATATGAAAGTCGATTCAACATCATTTGGGTAGTTCACTTTGAGTATCAGGAGGTGAGTCTGTATTTAGGAGAGGGTCTCACTGGGAAGCCGTCCTCACCACAGTTTCTGCATTTCAGTTATTCATCCCCCACATCAGGCACAACACCCACAATCACCACTACTAGAACCCTAAGCTACAGGCTCTGGACAGTGGAAGTGGAGACACTGCAGACAATTTTTAAGTTAGAGATAAAATCCAGCAGCAAGCTCTGGCCATGAATATTTGTGGATAATCTAATGGACTCCTCAGAATTCAGTACTGTCCTTTTAAAAATTACAAATGGGCTGGCCAGATGGCTCGGCTGGGAAAGGCCCTTTGTGGCCAACTCTGATGATCTGAATTCAGTCCTCAGAACATCCATGGTGGAAGAAGAGAACATCTCTCCAAAACTGTCCTCTGACCCCCATACTAAATAAATAAAAATAAATAAATTAAATAATTTTTTAAAAATTAAAAACAAGTAGAAACTGTAGTAATCTGTTACATGTGAAACTGCTGCATGCAAATCAAAGCTACTGATAAATAAAAACAATAATCAGATCAAGGACATAATCTATAAAAGCCACAGCAAAGACCTTAAGCACAAAGAGAACATAGATGTGGGAAAGGCCCCATACAACAGAAAATGATTAAAAGGGTCAATAAAGGGCAAGCCTGGCTCAGCTGTGGAGACATCAATTCTCTCTAACCTAATTTAGAACTATAATGATCTCAATGAAAACCAGAACGTTATGGTAATTATGGAGCAGTGGTGAGACAGTAATAGATAATGGGGCTCACCTGCAGGGAAGTGGCAGAACACCTGGCTAGCATGTATGAAGACCTTGGTTCCATCCACAGCAGAGGAGCTTTTTAGAATTATTGCTATAAAATAATTCATAAAAAACAAAAAAAACCTTTGTCTGGCATTGGTGGTGTACGCCTTTAATCCCAGCACTCTGGAGGCAGAGGTAGGTGGATCTCTGTGAGTTCAAGACCAGCCTGGTGTACAAGAGCTAGTTTCAGGACAGCCTCCAAAGCCACAGAGAAACCCTGTCTCGAAAAAACAAAAAAATAAAATTCATAAGTATCTGTGTGAAAACAAAATTACAATTTTGTTTTTAAAAGAATTATTTCTGTGCATAGAAGCATAACACCTGGAATCCCAGCATTGGGGAAACTGAGGCAGGGAGAGTATGGGTTTTAGGCTGGCCTAGGACAATTAGACAGACCTTGTCTCAAATAAGAAACATACCTTGACCATCAGGATGGCTCAGCTAGTAACAGAGGATACCAACTCTGACATTGAGCATTTGATCCCTGGAACCCACACGGTGGAAAGAAAGAACCAACTCCTGAGACCTATCCTATGATTTCCACAGGCACATAATGGCATGTATATCAGGACATGCATGCCATGGCATGCACACACACACACACACACACACACACACACACACCACAAAATAAAAACATATAAGAATATGCTTATCATGCCACAATTTACCAATTGGCTCACTTTTTAAAATGAAATATTCTTTTTTATTTATATTTTTAAATATTTTCATATGAAATGACACACCTTGGATCTGTTTTCTTTCTTTTCTTTGTTTTTTGGGGGGTTGCAGGTTTTTTATTTGAATTAGAAACAAGATTGTTTTACATGACAATCCAGTTTTCTCTCCCTCCCATACTCCCTTACCAACCCCCCCAACTAAAACCCTACCTATCACATATCCTTTCTGCTCCCCTTGCATGGTGAGGCCTTCCATAAGGTGTCACCAGAGTCTGTCGTATCCTTTGGGATAGGTCCTAGGCCCACCCCCGTGTGTCTTGGCTC